ACTGGAGCACTTGTCAGGATAGAAGGAAAAATGGATGGGGCAAAATACCCTCAAATTCTTGTGGAAAATCTGCTGCCCTCTGCCAGAAAGTTGTCAATGGGAAGAAGTTTTAGCTTCCAACATGACAATGAGCCAAAGCACACAGTGGTTGAAGGAGAAAAAGGTGAATGTCCTTGCATGGCCTAATCAGAGCCCAGACTTAAACCCCATTGAAAATCTGTGGAATGACTTGAAGGCTGCAGTCCACAAACGCTCACCATTACATTTAACTGAACTTGAACAGTTCAGCAAAGAAGAGTGGGCAAATGTTGCAAAGTCTAGATGTGCAAAGTTAGTAGAGACAAATCCCAACTCACTAAAGGCTGTAATTAAAGCAAAAGGTGGTTCAACAAATACTGACACAAGGGGGTGATCCTTTTTCCAACTCAGTGATTCTGTTTTCTTTTTCTTTTTCTTTTCTTTTTTTTGACATGTTGGTGTTATATCTTTCACTTGGCTGTTATAAGTTGCACAGAGTGAATACAGCTGAATAAAACAAAAACTGTGTCTTCATTTCAGGCTGCAAATCAACAAAATGTGATTATTTTAAAGGGGGTGATTCTTTTCTATACCCACTGTATGCCTTAAGTATTTAAACCCACATACGACGTTTAAGATTAGAAGACACGGCGCTCGATTATATGCAGGCCAGATTTTTCCCCCTCCTTCCTTCCACACGGCAGTGAAGTGAAGTGCTGCCGGTGGCCAATCTGCTGTTGCGCGGACTTGATCATAAGTTAGCCGCTCCCATTCCTCACATCCCTCCGCGCTCCTCATTGTGCTCTGCTGACTCAGTGCCTTAAGCATCATCCGCTCTCAACGCCACTGGCACAAACCTCGACCATTGTGGAAATTAATACGGATTCAAGAAAGGACACCATGGCCAAAACAGCTATCGGTACGCGCTGCGCATTTCTTCACTTGTCATCTTAATCCATTGTTGCATTTGTAAACGTATTAATGGGAACTGAGTCTGTCAGTGCAAAGCGTTATACCATGCCAAACTGTACGGTGCATATAGAACATATACAATGCTTATATTAACATGTTTCTTATATTATTTACAGCTTATTCGTGCGTACAGTACATTATATACGACCAGAATCTGCGTTATCGGAGGCATTCTACAATGGTAGATTTCGCGTTTTTTTCCTATTTATGAAGTTTATAGCCTAAGCGAAGTGAATGCCATTCGTATTATGAATTAAAATAAATATCGTACGTAAAATTCTCAGTAGTGATATGTATGTATGTATGATGATTGACGATGGCGCACCTGCTCCTGCTGCCTCGCATCATAATGCAGAAAGACCGCACCCAAGAAACACTGCCCAGACAATCTAGCCATAAAACCCCCACAGATACCTCCTTATGGAGCATTTCCCTCAAGAACTCATATTTAACCAGCGATCCTTGCTTTATATGGAATAATCAAGACAATTAGAGCAGCTTTTTGTTGTGCATGACATCGTTCTTGTTTTATAGACATGAAGTCAAGAGTGCTGGCATCAGGGATACCAAGGTGACAGATTTTCATTCACAATCCATTTTATTTTTAATTAGCCTTTTTATGCATTCAGAAACCACCTAATAAGGCTCATGTGAGATATAACACACAGGCCTAGCTCATTCATTACATGCATAATACTGTTTTAATATAACAACATCAATAAAACATTGGCTATGGCTATGTAGTTCTCTCTCATAGCTACTTAAATCAGTATTTAAAATAGATTAAAATATAAGAATTTCTCATCTATTGTGTGTTTGTGTTTTTTTTTTACCATAGTAAAATCCACCTATATTTTGTTGTGGAGTCATTTCATGACCAGATGGCATGGGTGGATTTCACTGTGATTTAAATTTTTTTTTTTTTTTGGGCTCCGGGTAGCCTGCAAAATTACTGAAGCTGTAAAGTCACCTTTCCTAATCTATCGGGGGCCTGTTCTGTCAGGATTTATTGATCAGTGTAAGGCTCCTGTGCTGTGGGCCTGGTTGTTGATATTGATAAGAATGGAAGGGGAGTTGCAGGAGGCTGAACGGACGCAGACTGGGAGGCCGGCCAGCCCTGCAGCAGTGGGATGCTGCACATGGTGGCCTTTGCAGCACCGGACACATAACTATTGACACTGTGTGTGTGGACACCAGTATGTGACCCTGGCAGGAAATAGCTCCTGTGTGTGATTTGGACATCGAACGTATGGGATTTGTGTCTCATAGCTAATTGATGACTATCATATATGCATTCTTTTTTTATTTCGTTACACTTGTTTAGTGTGTCCTAGTCTGCATGGTGTCTGATGGTAATTTTCTAGCTAATGGGCTGTTAGATGTGCTTGTAATCTGTAAAACGCTACAGAGGGCAGGAAATGGCAAGTGTCATTAGTGTGCCTCCTGCATTTTTCATGAGTCTGCCAGCTCCATTTGTTTGAATCTAGAAAAGACTCTCCGTAGACTCCATGTGTGCCAGTTTTTATGCTAATGTGACTTTTCAGGGATTTGCTAGTTGTATTCCAGTTGGTTTGTTTTATGCATTTAATTTGTTTTCCACTGAGCAAAATCCACTGTAAAAAGTAAAACAACGATTATTGGAGCACATTTTACAAGAAAATAGTATTTCAGTCTTTGTACTTTAAAACTTCATGTGTTAAAATTCAATGTGTTACTTGCCGTGTCTTTATTTACTAGCAATTTATGAGTAATTATAAATAAATTCTACACCAATTTTTTTTATTGGTATAGGCCTATAGTGATACTGTTGGGAAATTTCCCATTTTTATCTTGCTCACTTAATTTCTGATATTCAACTATTTAAATCCACGCTTTACATTGTTCACCGCTGTAATGATAATCATGGCCTTTCAAAAATTAGCTAATTTAGCTAAAGTAGCAGAGTTGATCAGTCACTCAGTTGAAGCGTCATAGAAACAGACACTCAGAGATGAAGCGTGTAAATTGAAGTACAGGGTATGTTATAGACCCCAATTGAATCCTCTGAAGAGCTGTAGAGATGGGGCAATATGCTCTGGCCTGTAACACTTCAGCACATTTGTGCTAGAGTAGTGGAAGTGTGTACGACTAACAAGAGGCCAATTATGTGTTGTTCCAGCATACAAGGAGAAGATGAAGGAGCTGTCCATGCTCTCGCTTATTTGCTCCTGCTTCAGCCAACAGACACGCAACAACCTTGTCTGTGAGTTTGAAGGTAAGTGAGAGAACAAATCACTTTGATTTGAAGCAGTATAATACTATATATGAAATAAAGATGCTGTGACTGATATTTTATATAATAAATATAAAAATAATAAATGTTACATAATAAAAATAAATATAAGATTTTTTTATATAATAAATGTAAATAAATAAAAGAACGTTTAAAAACGGTGATTATTTCTTGTTTCAGTGTCTTGATTGATTATGCTCTTAAATTTATGAAAATGTTAATTCTTTAAAACGTGAATTATATTTGGAAGCCCATTTCGGCTATGTAAGAAAACAAATTCATGTTTTGGTAGCTAAGATAAAAAAAAATCAATTACAATATAAAAAAGCTGAAATGATGACATTCAAATTCTAATTGTGAAATATTAGTATTTATACTCATTCATATTCATATTCAAGGCAAAACATAGACGTGTACTTCTAAGTCGTGTCATAATTATGACATTTTATGTCAATAAAAATACTTTTTATGACAATAAATACAAGTACATATTTAAAATCAGTGTTGGGGGTAGTAACGCATTACAAGTAACGCGAGTTATGTAATCAGATTACTTTTTTTCAAGTAACTAGTAAAGTAACGCATTACTTTCCATAAAAAGTAACTAAGTACCGTAATTAGTTACTTTTTTATGGAGTAACACAATATTGTAATTCATTACTTTTAAAAGTAACTTTCCCCAACACTGTTTAAAATGTTGATCATGTCCTGATCAGAATCTTGATTAATTATGCTCTTAAATTTATGAAAACATTATTAGAAACATGAATTATCTATGGACGCCCAATTTTTTCCACATAAGAAAAAAAATCATGATTTGGTAAACCATAATTATGACATAAAGAGTGAAAATTACACAAAAAAATTTAGATTAAAATCTAAATTGGGATTTAAAAAAATCTATAATGACATAAAAGTCTAAATTATAACATGTCAAATTATGACATAAGTTATAATTGAGATAAATGTTGAATTACGTCTGTGAGATTAAATCATAATTATGAGATCAAGTTGAAATAACAAGGTCAAAATAATGAAAAAAAAAGTCATAATTATGACTTGTCATCAGTATGTCATCATTTTGACCTTTTTCTCATAATTATGACTTAGTATCTAATTTTTTTGTCTCAATTATGACTTTTATGCCATAATTATGACGTACTAAAGCATTTTATTAAGTAAGGTCATTTGACATTGGTCGTTGTCTTGTAGATATGGAAGTAAAACCTATAAACAAAAGGGCCTCAGGCCAGGCCTTCGAGGTGATTCTGAAACCACCCTCACCGGTGTCAGACGTGGCCCACAGCATCACCTCCCCTCCAAAGAAGAGGGATGTGTCACTGGAGGACATCCAGAAGAAGCTGGAGGCTGCTGAGAACCGCAGGAGGGTCAGTGGAACTGAATGCATCTAAGCTTAATAGCTGCTTTATTAATACAGACAAATGTACATGAAACCACGAATCAATAAATATTGGTCAACCACATTACAGTCTGTTTAACCTTCAGGAACTATATTCCCTTTCATGCCCTTTCATATGTTTGGATGCTTATGCATGTAATGACTTTCCTCAACAGTCCCAGGAAGCTCAGGTGCTCAAAGTTCTGGCTGAGAAACGTGAGCATGAGAGGGATGTGCTGCTCAAAGCCATGGAGGAAAACAGCAACTTCAGCAAGATGGCAGAGGACAAGCTCATTCTGAAGATGGAGCAGAACCAGGAAAACCGTGAGGCACACCGGGCAGCCATGATGGAACGCCTGCTTGAGAAGGTGAGCAAAACAGTTCGACTTAATAAATTACTTGTAGTAAAAATGATTGAAATGAACATTGGGTATGCAATGAATATGCATTGTTTAGAAACATATTTTATTGCAAATATTGTTTACTTTTTATTATTTTAAAATTTCTTTAACTGTCACCGTCCCACCTGTGGGACGCTTGGCGCTCTTTTTTTGTTGTCCTTTTTCTCTGTCAAATCTTTTAGTAAACATCATAAATCATATATCATTTGAAAGCGTAGAAGCCCAAGATTCATCCTGTGAAAACCATTTTGAAATCGGACATTGCGTTACCATGGAAATGGTACTTTAAAATATTTTGGCGGTCTCCTCCCCCTTAGTGGGCAGTGTCAAGTGTCATATTACAAAATGCATTACGGTCTTTTGGAATCAAACCTTTTTATAATCTTGACAAAAAACATCATTGGAAAGGTCTGAGTCTATTAATTAATCTAATTAATCCCACATCAGTTCTGTGTAAGAAATTAGCCCTCAAAAGATAATTTGTGTCATTATTGAGTATAATGAGAAAAGCATTGAATAGACATAACAAAAGTGATAGACTACTCTAAATATGAAACTAAAAACCGCCAGTAGGTGGCAGCAATTCACTGTCTTAGTGAGTGAGTCATTCAGTCATTCAACGAATCAACTGGTTCGTTCAAACGGCTGATTCATCAGGAAACGAAGCAAGTGACTGTCTTTATGAATAGTTCACCGATTCATTGGCTCAATCAATTCGTTCAAACACGTGGATTTATTCAGTAATGAAACATCGCTGTGTGTCGCTCGGAAAGGAACAGTTCTGCTGTGGCTCTGCTTGGAAATATTGACAATATCGTGTCTAAAATTGAACACAAAATTAACGTCTTGTTTATTGAACTATTGTATAAAATCAATATCACATTTCCAATCGTGCAGATATTTGTAGGTGGCAGCAATTCACTGTCTTAGTGAGTGAGTGAGTCATTCAGTCATTCAACGAATCAACTGGTTCGTTCAAACGGCTGATTCATCAGGAAACGAAGCAAGTGACTGTCTTTATGAATAGTTCACCGATTCATTGGCTCAATCAATTCGTTCAAACACGTGGATTTATTCAGTAATGAAACATCGCTGTGTGTCGCTCGGAAAGGAACAGTTCTGCTGTGGCTCTGCTTGGAAATATTGACAATATCGTGTCTAAAATTGAACACAAAATTAACGTCTTGTTTATTGAACTATTGTATAAAATCAATATCACATTTCCAATCGTGCAGATATTTGAAAAAAAAGCACTCTAACTCGTGTGATATCAACTATGATATAAATATATGACAAAAACCCATACGGGGCATTCTATGCACCTCAGATCTTAAATTTTAGGGGCATATATGACTGCATTCTATTAGGCAACATCACCCCAGGCGGGGCACATTAACAAAATTAATTGCAACCACTTAACACATTAAATTGACAGCCCTAATATATATAGTTAGGTATTTTTTATTATTAATTTATTTATTATAAGCACTTTTCAGTCTTAAATTAATCATCAGAATTATGATGTATGTGATACTCTGTTTGTTTTGACCCTATCAGGAGCGACATGCTACAATTGTCCGCAGGAACAAGGAGCTGAGGGAAGAACTAATAGCGTGAAGTTATCCTCCTCCTCCTCATCCATACCCTTCATCAGCCAACCTGTCATCCTATCCTGCTCACACACACTCACACACAACCACTGGTAAAAACCAATCAGAACAACTAGTGTCACACTCGTATACGGTTTGAATGGTCTTGCTTGATTTCATAGAGTATTGGGAAGACACAAGTATTATTTTGTAAATACATCTTTTTTATCTCTCTCTCTCTCTCTCTCACACTCTCTCTCTTTCGTTCTCTCTATCTGTCTTTCTGTCTATCAGATTGAATGATAACAAATCAAATGTACCAACTCTACATGATACATTATGTTAATTTGTTCATTATATTATTTGTTAATTTCTCAGTTGGTTTGGTTCAGGCCCGTCTGCTTTGATCACATGAAAGGTTTTTGATGTTGTGAGTAAGCTGCCCGCTTACGTTTGCAGTGTTAAATGATGTGACGTTTGGTGTAATTGTGAAGAATGCAAAAAGCTTCAGTGCTCAGGCCCCAGATTTACATTTTAAAGCGCAAACCTACCCAGACTCATAAATATATAGTGCACTTACGTTTATATACAGCATGATCAAGACATTTCCTGAGCAAATAGCTTGAAATATGAGTACCGAAACAAATAAAAACATGTTAATAGTGTTTCATTTATAACCGAAATCTTCTCTGAACGTCCGTATTTTAGTTTCAATGGTTAATATCCTTATGTAGAATGAAATCTCTGTCTCTCTTGAAATGTTACGCACATCTGCATGTCTACATCTGCAAACGTACTCTTTTGTTGGCTGACGTTTGGAAACACTGCACCCTTTCTGGACCCTTTGGACTAGAGTCTAGACAGCTTGACATAGCCTGCGGTAGAATACAAAAGAAAAGGAAAAAATAACCAGCCAGTTCCTACCCTGTTGCTCCCTATGAGCGAGGTTTTTCTTTTCGTTGACCTGCCCCATTCCCTTACATTGATTCAGGCCTCCGGCACTCAAGGCTGATGTTTGTCATCTGTCTCTAGCAGGAGTAGACATCTTCATTAGTGCAGTGGGGTAATTAAGGGAGTCATATCTCTCTGAATGTTCTGACATCTGGCTTTATAAAATAGGTAACATCTTTACCAGCGGAATGTATCCTCATAGACTCCCAACTACAGCCTTTGACGTGTGACTATTTTCTATTTGGTTTATTTTGGTGTGACTGGAGTGAGTGTGTGCAGGTGTGTGTGTCCACATTAGGTTGACCCAGCATTTGTGTCCTTTCTCTCTGGAAGTGAAGTGATAGGCAGATGCAGAATATGCTCTGAATGATTATGGTTTTATTTGGATTTGTTTTTCAAATCACTGTCTCCTCTATAAATATGCTTGAAGTGTCTCCGGCTGCCAAAATGGTATTTTCCCCCTCTCATTTCTGTGTGTGCAAACTTTGGTGAAAATAAAGGTTTGGGGTTCTGTGAACATGGTTTACTGTGTTGTTTGCTTTTTAAGCTTCTGTTAATGTCATTCCAGCGCTTCACCAGCGGATGACAGTAAACCTGTTATAACACGTGGGCTAAGCTTATTAACATAATTCGCTTGAGAACATAATGTGTGTAATCTATCTATCTTTTCAAGCTTACGCCAGTTGCAGTGAACAGGTCACATATCTACTGAATCTTTTCTATTAAAAAAAAATTGTTGACCAAAATATGCTTGCAATTAATAGTTAGGACTATTCATCATCTATATTACAGATGGTGTTAAGCAAAGAAATGAATCCCAATTCACCCACTCAAATCTCCTTTTGCCAATTCACTTCTCAGCAAACTATAAAATTATTACCAAACAAAGTTCTCAGAAGTATAAAAACAGAGAGCCATATTGTGCTATTATATATATATATATACATTTAGCTTTGCAATTTTCTTTTCTTGCACCCAGTGGTAGTTTAACCATTCATTGGTTTCTATAGCTTTAAATACACATATGTTTGTTTTGAATGAATGTATATTTTAATGACTATTATTGTTACTTTATTCAAATTTAAAGATAAATAGATGTATATCTGCTTTGTGTTGTCTTATATGGTAGATCATTCTCTGTTACATTTTAATGACTATTGTTTCTGTATTGAAACTATTTCTATATAATATAAAAACGTAT